CTCTTTATCGTCTACATATCATCACTTTCCCTTCCACAGTCTACTACTATGCTTCATTCAATTTGAACTCGTCCCACCAACAACATCGACCCAAGTTCTTGATGTAGACAATGTCCAACCTCGTTGGTCCCTCGGAACCAACTCGTCTTTGTCCCAAAACACATTTATTTAGTAGCATTGGATGAAACATAATGTCCTTTAATTTGTACATTAATCTATTGCTCTCGACCTTTCCAACACCTTTTGTCCAAGACTACATAGGTCGATCTAACTTCCCATTACTCTCCCTGCCTGCAGTGGCTTGACTCCGGATGTTTTCCCATGGAGTTGATCTCAGCGTCTGCCGTGTAGTATATTTGTTTTGGTTCATTGATAGGACACCTGACACATATTAAGGCTTAATCGTTGAGCCCAGGTCTCTCCCAGGACTTCCCAGACTTCCAGATGCAAATAATTTTTTGCTTTTAATGATAATGGGCCCTCTTATCGAAGAATTTCCTCTCGCGTACAAACACTCATTTCCTGTTCTGGGTAGTTCTGGGTTCACTGAGGTTCAAGATAACTACCGAGCATTGTCGATTCACTCAGAGGACCACAGTGACTTTTCTGAACCTTATTTTATAAGTATTCCTCGAAACTAAACTTCTTTCAAGTAGACTACGCAAACTAAACATCACAATGATAACACGCAGATCGCGTTCAGTTTTTCCTTTGAGTGGAGAAATGATCACTTCCAGTCCTTTTACCCCCTTTATGTTGAACCACTGTTTCAAACACCCACCGGATCCTGCAAATTTGACCTTCTCAGGTCAGTCTATGTTTGTCTTCTTTCCTTCATGCTATCGGTTGTCTTTGTCCTCCAACGCACACTATATTCAACTTCCAACCTTCCTCAGACCCACTTCAACTTTATCTCACACATCCATCCCGGACACATTCAAATACAGCTACTGGACAAATGTATTGTCCCTTATAAGCTAATCTTTCGCTCTCAACCTTTCCTTTGACCACTAACACCGGATTCCTCCCTTCCAGAGACTCCATAGGAAAATGCTGGATAAATGAGCCTTTTTTTCCCGTCAACAACCACATACACTTTACCGGCCTTCGGCCACTTTTGGGGTGCTCTTTGTCATTAGCTCATTATCCGGATTGTTCCTGTGTTTGGAGTGCTGGAGTATGAGACAGGTGGGAAATACAGGTGCAGAGTTGTAACCAATCTCTGTGTCAGTAGTACTGAGCAAAGGAAATTAGAACCGACAGACTAAAATTGAGGAGGGGAAAAAAAGCAGCGAGGTTGTCTCTGTGTTCGAGTAACTCTATAGCTAGACACTTTTTCTTTTTCTTCTTCAAGTTTGCTCCGATTGACCTAGAATTAAATTGCATACTCCTAGCATTAGTTAGTCAACTCATGAGATCAGATACCAGGGAGAAAGAAAGTTCTGAACCCGGGACGACTCCCGGACAAGCCAGGGTTTTGGAGACAAGTACTCACAAATACTTATTTCAAGCGAATTCAGTTCTTGCGGGCGGAGTTGGTGAATGGGGGTGTTCATTGTTCAAGGTGCCTTACTTTGTGGGCGAGGCTTGTGAAGACAATTATCATTGAATGGCAATGAACACTTTGTGTACGGTGCCAGACAAGTATGTACATCATATTTTCCATTCTCTTCCACAAATCACCAGCACATATCTTGAAGTTAGCTCCCAGATGCATTGATACCTATCTGTACACTCTCTTTGCTCCTCTCCTTGTCGCCAAAGCCATCCGCCGCTGTGACATCTCCGCCAAAACTCCATCATGCATAGTCTCCTCGAGTCACAGAGGACACTCCCAGAGCCAAGGCTCTGGGCTGTGACATGGGAGTACCTGGAGCGGAGACCTCTGCAACTGGAACTTTGCCTTTTTATTCTCATTATATGGGTAGGCAAAACGGAAGACACACCGGAGATACAGAGAAACATGCTGTCCCCCCTGCTGTTCGGTTGTACGCTGATAATAAGATGCCCTGGCTTTAGTTTTTGGTGCAGGGCTGGGCACGCTTGGGATTTGGACACTGCAATGAGAGGTGTTAGATAAAAACAAAAGGCTAGGGAGAGAACACATGCACACAAGATCCCTTGTTCACAGTCATTGGCACTACTTCTGGAAGAACAAACAGGATGATTGTCAGCTGAGCTTGCAGTGGTGTTCCCTGCAGGTGGATGAATGGGGTGAGGGTGAGGAGTAAATGCTTCTAGTGTCTCCTTAACTCAGGCTACCTGACCGTCCCTGCAGGGCAAGAGGTGCAGAACAGTTTGAGGAAGGCCCGGATGACACATTGAGTGAAAAAAGAAATTCAAAGAACAGAAATAATTAACAACAGCCGTCAGCATGTCATCATTCTTCTACACTTCACATCAACTTTCATGCTTGCACCATTAAACAACCCAGTTCGCCTGGTGTGGGAAACCTTCAAGCAATGCAATTTGTGCAGCTGCAGACTGGCATCCGCACTGACGACTGCGTTGTCAAGGCCTTGTTTGCGCAGCAAAACATCAAAGGTCGCCATCATGGTCAGCAGCAATACCAGCCTAGCTGGATGAGCAGCAGCTCCTTGCAAATAGACACCCCAAACGCTGATCACAACAGCTTTCAGTTGTCCTTCAACAACGCTAAAAAAATCCACTAGTTCCGCCCTGGCCAAACAGCCCTCAGCACCCAGCAGGACAACATCTCTGTTGGGATCAGTGGTTGGACTCTACTATTCTCATGGTCCTATCCGATACATGATCTTATTGTGTTGACATTCATCTTGTTGTCTCTATTGTTCTTATTGTTAGATAGTGATCTTATTGTAGTGGTAGAGATCTTATTATCCCTCTCCTTCTTATTGTTCTTATTGTTCTACCTTCTCTATTGTTCCAGTAGCTATATAAGTAGCCTAGCATTGTCCTGGGTCCTCAGTTTCTTATTGTTGACCCAGACCTCTGTGCTGCCTGTTTGAACAATCTCAACCTTTGTTGAGGCAGATGAAGAATGAGTGAAGAGGTATATTGGCCCAAATGCTAATACCACAAAGTGGTAGGAGATATTTCAATCAGTTTAAATTCTGACTAAGCTGTTAATTCCAGGTTTGTGAGGGGTTATGTCACTCTGTTTGCAAGCTGGTCCATGGTATCTATGTGTGTGATACCCATTGCTGGGGTTGGACCTATCACAGACCAAGCCCTGCTATCTTATCTTGTCCAACTATACCCAGATAGCAGATTGGGGGGGGTGAGATGTACTGAGCAAGGACTTCATAAGGATGATCAAATAAACGACTAGGGAGGGTACCAAATACTCTACTAACTAGTCGTACTTATACTGTCTAAGTATGAACTACTAATTACTATATATGGTATCGACTGTGTGGCAATTGTTCGTAGCCTCGTGTACTCCTGTGAGTAATACCTTTAAGCATGTGTTATGCTGTCCTTCGTCGTGTGTGTAGTGTGCGTGCGTCCTTTAATATATACTTGCTGCAGCTCCTGGCGTCTAGCCCGTCTTCATGGATCGGCATACCTTTACTTCTGGATGCTGGGAGTTCTCTCGTTGTCTCCACTGATCCTTCGTCTGAGGCTTTGTCTGTGAGCCTATAATATCCACCATGCACCTTGGCGTGTGTCTTCCCATGTGGGTGCGGGTTCTTCGTTGATCAGTTCCTTCATCAAGGTCTTCTAATAACACCATGTGTCCTTGGTGCTTCTTCGATCTATGGCTTCTGTTATTCCCGCGATCGGTGTGTTGTATAGGAAGTAACAGCTATCAAACAACACTGTTGATGGAAGGCCTTCTGTAACCCGCCATGTCTTCTGGTGAAGCGCTCCCAGAGCGGCACGCGTAACAGTCACTCCGCATTGTCGCCAGTGAACAATATGCGTCACGCAAGACTGGAGTTCCCGTTCAATCTACAATGGCGGTGCTTAACATTTTTGAACAGCATGCCCCAGAGGATGCCAGCACACTTCTCGTTGGCCACAGCATCTGTAGACGCTGCGAGACAGCAGCCAAACACCTTCTTGCATCGCAAGTAGGCTTTAGCATTGCTTCTCCACTCTGTAAAGAGCGTCTCTTTCAAGAGTATAGGGATAGTAGAGTGACTGTCTGAGTCGGACATAATGCACCCAACTGTGTGTGTGAGGAAAATATAGTAATAAAAGAGTCCGTGAGAGATGTAAGTATGCAAAGCTAATTCTAATGAACACCCAGTTGTGTAAGGCACTTGGACCCTAACCCCAGAATCAACGGGTTGACTACTGTTTGTTGTCTGGTAGATCAAAGACTAGCTTGCAAAAGAGGATTCGTCCCAACAGTTGGTGTTCCTATTTACAAAGCTCACACACACACAGAAAGGGCAGGATGGATGAGAATCTCAGATGAAGACTTTAAAGGCTGGGGCCCATAACCTGTTAGAACAGGCAGCACAGAGGTCTGGGTCAACAGTAAGAACCTCTGTTAGACCTGGGTCAACAGTAAGAAACTGAGGACCCAGGATGCAACTATGCTACTTATATAGGTATCTACATTGTATAAGTAAGCAGTATCAGTAAGCATAAGTAATGTCCTGAATAAGCTATCAGTCAGCATGAGTAATGCTCACTGATGCTGACTGAGATATCAGTAAGCAAGATAAGTATCAGATAAGTATCAACTAGGATCATAAGGATCATGGATAGGATCATATAGGATCTGGAGTATGAGAATAGTAGAGTCCAACCACAGATCCCAACATAAAGCACCCGTAAGCGCTACGAGACAGCAACCAAACACCTCCTTACATCGCAAGTTGGCTTTAGCATCACTCTTCCACTCAGAGAAGAGCACCTCTTTTGATGAAAGAGTCCGCAAGGAGATGTAAAGCTAATTTAAAGCTCACGCACACATAGAAAGGGCAGGATGGATGAGAATCTTAGATGAAGACTTTAAAGGCCGGGGCCCATCCGTTGCAGTATGGATTTGTTCCTTGCACACTATCGGCCGAATAGCTCAGTTCGTTAAGAGCACTAGTAGCACAATCACTTAGAGGTCCCCAGTTTGAATCCAGGTTCAGCCATTTTCCAACATGGGGGGAGTGTTGAAGGTCCTTCTGGGAGTTCCCTTTACACCTGTGGGCTGGATAGCTCAGTGGTTAACCTTCGGGTTAGAGCATCTCACATGATATGAGAAGATCCTGAGTTCGATTCTCAGTCTAACCATTCTTTTGTGCAACAACAACACCATCATCTGTTAAACTGTTTCATTTTGGACGGACCAACAAAATAGATCTCTGTGGAATTAGAATAACCCCCAGCCCCAATTTGAACGGGTATTCGGATCTTCCACCACCGAGGCTTGTAGAGCTACTCTCTGCCCCGCTTGGCCACTGATTCAACAGACACAAACAAAAAAAAACCCTTGTCCTCTCCGAAATTGAACAGGCAATTCTGCTGACATCCTTGAGTGGTATTAAATATGTACAGATGTGGACCTCCTACCACGGGGGCTTGTAGCACTCATTATCTGCCCACTTTGATACTGATAAAAAACAAAACAAACATCTAATATCTGGTCCCGAATTCAATATAAATGTGGGCCTTCCACCACCCAGTCTTTCCAGATCCGATTCAAATCCAATCGACAAATGAGGCACTCACCATATGCCCTGTTGGATCCTAATTCAACAAACAAGAAGAGTTGGCACTACAAACCCCCCAGTCCCGAATCGAACGGGCATTCTGCTTAATCCACGCCCTGTTCCAAATCAAATCCAGACGTGGACCTAGCATCTCCGGGGCTTGTAATTATATGTGGGCCCTCAATAGCACCCCCTACCGTGCCACCTAACTATTCCTTGCATCTTCCAGGAAATTAATATGCCCCCACTCCCTTTAGCGTTCAGCAGCTAAAAAAGAGAATCTCGAGCTTCATAACCCCACCCATAGGTCAAACACAGTAGCCTGCTGTAAAGTCCCCTATAGAGTGTCATATTCTATGCAGGTGTATCCGGCATGCTATGGGGTGTGTTCACACAGACTCTGTATCCAGTGCAAACCGACTTGTCACCCTACTGTTTCACTCTGCATTCACCAAAAATATTTACCTGAGCGGGGGCTGAAGCAAAATAAGTCGGAAACAAGAAATCGCACTAGCTGCATATACTGCATCCTCGGTATCCTTGTCCGCCTTGTTTTTTTTTTTTGGCAGCATTTTCGTCCTTGGTGGGTTCGATCGGAGGGGGTTTACGGGGGAAGCTGGGAGCGATGACGGTATCAATAGTTCGTACTTGTTTATGTACATATTTAGCCCACATGTCGACACTCGGGCTTTCATCTTGGAGCATCTCGGTAGTCTCGGCTTCAAGGTTATCCCAGCGTTTGAGCAGGTCCTGGCACTTTTCCTTGCGCTCTTCCTGCGACGTAGTGAGCTCCTCTTGCGACATGAGAGGTGGGTACGAGACTTTACTATTCTCATGCTCCTGATCCTATATGATCCTATCTGATACATGATCTTATTGTGTTGATATCCATCTTATTGTCTCTATTGTTCTTATTGTTTAGATAGTGATCTTATTATAGTGGTAGAGATCTTATTATCTCTCTTCTTCTTATTGTATTGTTCTACCTTCTTCATTGTTCCAGTAGCTATATAAGTAGCCTAGCATTGTCCTGGGTCCTCAGTTTCTTACTGTTGACCCAGGTGACACTGTACATCTGAAATTAGTAGGGCCACGGAGCGAGTTTTGGTTGTAGATGCATGCAAATGTCCCTTCAAAGAAGGTTCTCCTATAATATTGGCCAAATTTCCTGCAGGCAGGAGACTTGAATGTCAAAATAAGCAATAGTAGGGCCCGCTGCTGCAGCAGAGCCCACTATCTGCAATCTTACGGTGATCAGCCAGTTATTCGGTTTTTTCGAGACCGGATATTCGGCTCAATGATGCGATCACAGCCGTTTACGGTCACATGACTTTACATCCAGCAGAGGCAAAAACAGGTGCTTGCTATAACGGGAAGGTCAAAGTGTAAACCTATCTAGTAAGTTGTTTGTATTCGGTTCTTCTCGAGGTTTGACGGGTCGAATAAGATGGCGCCTGGCCATACTGTGAAACATTTCATCGAGGTGTACAATTTCAGGAGTATTCAGCACCTGTATATGGTCAGTATTAGCCGGTTTGGTGATCTGCTGACGATCTTTGGAGGATCAGAGCGCGTCCGTACAAAGACGGTCCCGGTGCAAATTACCTTGTCCGGCGCCGTCTCAAATCTGCCGCGGCCGACCTTGAACGCGGCCTCATTACCCAGGACTCGCTCGATGCGCAAACAGAGTTTAAGTAGGGAGAAACCCGGCGGCCAGTCGCGGAAAGGCAGCACTAGTATTGTCAGTGCGAGGGTATGTATGAGATTGTGTAGATCAGAATCTACAGCACCCCTGTGTGCAAGTTAACGGGTATGTTATTTTATTTTTCATTTATTCCTTTTTTTCTTGCTCTGTCTCCCGCACTCAACCGCTCATTCATACAGAATTTCGAATTGCCAGCCTCCAAGCACCCGATGTGATGTGTTCTTGTGGCACGGTGCACTGCGAATGGTTTTGTTGGCTCCGGCGCATGGTGATACAGCCGATGCGCTTGAGTACGTGTTTGTGCGCTGGATGGTTTTGCTGGGTTATTCAAATTGGGAGTATGTGTAAGGCTGCTGCTCCAACCTTACCACTTCTCTGCACTGGTCCTGCCTTTAACTTTCAGATTGCTCTCATTGTCGAGTCACCCTTGTTCCTTTCCTTGACGATCTCATATATCACTCCTCAACATCCTCCTTACCTTTCTGTTGCTGAGTTCCTTACCTTATGTTATTCTTATACTGTCTGATTAGTATCACGATTGGACATTGATCGTCTTACGTATTTAGTCATTAGTTCTTCTTCTTGGTCTTGACCACCATGTACCTTTCTATAGTGGCCGCTCTTGAATGACCACACTATTGTTCTGTCATTCTGGGCTACTCTTAGTTTTGTCTGGCCGACCCTCGAGTGTTGGCTGCCCCCACAATACGGCAGCCTTCCAGTATGAAGATCTGTGAATGCATTCAGTACACCACCATTTTGTAGCCATTCAGATTTGAGCTGTCAAAGTCAGGTCTCCTCGGCAAATTCTCACATGTTTGCCTAATGCGGAAATCAGCCTCGCTAGACGTGAACAATGCCACATGTGGGCGAGCTGGGTTCTTCCCCACTCCCAGCTCATTCTTCATGTTGAAGATAGCTCCTTCGCCACAACCCAGCTTCCCATACTGTCTGAGACTGTAAAAACCCAATGTTCTAATTTTTGAAAGTCATTTGGATCCCATGTGAAAGGAATTTGGGCGCCAAGCCATCCGAAAACAGGGAAGGTCACATACACACAATTGTCCTGCAGGATTCCTTTGGGAGCTTCAACTTGAAGGTCCGAGAAAGACGCAAAGACTTGAAAAAGACTCGGAATCCGCCATCAAACCTCGTGATTGATTGCTGTTGGTTGGCATTTGATGGAGGCCACATCACATCGTTGCTTCCCTCTTGCCACTATGCCCTCCAAATTCCACCGCCCTTTCCCACCCCCTCATCGGCCCTGCTGAAGCTGCTCCGAACGCTCGCCCAGGACTACCCTTCGCCTACCTCGTGAAGAGACTCCCCGCCACCGACATTGCACGCCTCACCGCCGCCGTTTGCTGGAACACCCCCAGTTTCACCTTCTTCGCTGTCCCCTACGTCCCCGAGCCCTCCACCTGGCTTATGATGCTTGACGGCCTCCTTTACACGGAGGGGGAAGGAGTGGATGTCGCCACCCTCGTCGCCGACGTGGTTTGCAACCGCACCGACACCACCACCTTCCTCTCCCTCACCAACGACAACTACCCTGCCGGCGTCAACCCCGTCTCGCACTTTCGTTCGTCCATCCGCGTATTCCCGATTACCTTGCAGAACCCCGGCGGCGAGAGCTCGCGCGTAGCTTGGAATATCCATGCGGCTCCCCCATCCCGGTCTTCCATGACCAACCGCGCCTGGATCTTCCTCCTCAACGGCCTGGATTTCGACTCGGAAATGCACTACGTCGGGCGCGCAATGGTCCCCGCCCTCGTCTGCGCTGGCTGCAAATCATTTGGCCACATCCTCGACTTATGCACTCTCCCCTCCACCCCTGGCTGGCACGTCCCAACCCCCGCTGCGGCCGCACCTCAGACTGGTTCATCCGGCCGCGGCCGTGGTGCTGGCAACTCGAACCGGGGTGCGTGCGGGCAAAGCAACGGGCGCCGTGCTCGTGGAGGACGAAACTAGGCTCAAGTAGTTTTCTTTACACGTATACTACCCTCACGACCCCTTATGTGTCCTTCTCTCCCGATGTTTTGTATTTTACATGTCATGCCACGTAGTTTTGAATGAAAAATGGTCCTCTAGACGAACCTCGTAGAGAGTCCAACGTGTCAACATACCGCCTCTGCTCGATGCTGAAAAACTCATCGCTCGACATGCCAAATCTCTCAAACTCTAACGCTGAAGCTTGATGACGTCAAGCAAATAACTTCTGACACTCTTCGTCTTGTGCCTCGATCTCCTATGACAATATATGTCAATACGAACAGGCAACCTCTCTCGCGCCCAACAACCCCCCCTCTATTACCGCTCTAAGGACTGGATGGAATCTGAAGAGTGCGGCAGGGCTGTCACCACTGCTCTGGTACCTGCCATTAGCAGTCTGCAAGTGCCGCTAGAAGGTGAGAGGCGTGTCGTTAAGGCTCTATTGCGACGCGCCGAAACCCGTAGGCCCACATATACTACTGGCCAGCCTTGGCAGCCAGTAGGAAAGCCCAACGGGGCGAGCGGACGACCACTATTCGGTGAGTCGTCAAGAACGGCGGTCCACTTGAGGCCGAGCGTGCCGTGCCGAGAGGCTCTAGTAAGTCGGTCGGAGAAGGCGCGATGGGTATGCCATTCCCGCCCTCACGCTAGTACATGACTGACATAGCTCCCCGTGGTGTACCTGGGCAAGTATACCCGCCTCGGGCTATGATTGTAAGCCTGACAAGCGTATAGGCAATTC